ATGCCTCGGTTTATTTATTTAATAATTAGTAACAGATTAAAACAAATTACTGTAGATGGATTCAAGTTTAAAAATCTATCAACATTTTCTATAGCTATTAAATTTGTAATACAACTCTATAAAATTTACCTGACCTGATGATGACTATAAAAATAATCCATGTAAATGCATATGTACTAATATGGAAAAGAATTAAGATTTTCAATAATATATACATATGATTTGGAATGTATCTTTTGAGTCAAGTAGTCTTGAAAATGGTGAATGCCATATGGACTTATGGTAAAAAAGGTGCAATGGGCAAACAAGGTCGCTTTAGACTTTCCTGAAACCACAAAAAAGCCAGAATTGAAAAATATTGATTTTTTACTGATTTAGTAGGTTAGAGCTACTATATACAAGGGTGTTCCAATAACTTGGACTGATTTTAAATGGGAGTTAAGTTTAATCGTCTCATGATTTTTTCTTTAACTTTCAGATTTGGGTGATATTTTTCGCACATAATTGCCATGACTTAAATAACAAGATCCAATAAAGAAATAAATTTTCACCAATAACACCGATTTATTTACTGCTGACTTTGATCCATCTTAATGAAACACCCTCTATATATAATTTAAAGAAAAAACAGACCACTTTAAGGTTCCAGTGTTATAATTTATTTCAGAGATTTTTTTTTTCTCTGGATCTTCAGACTTCACTTTTGAGCTCTCTGGATTTCATCCTCCTTGGATGTTTTGGCCAAGATTTTCGTTAAAATATATATATATATATATTTTATATATAAAGGGATTGTCAGTGGTCAGCATTACTGATAGAATAGGGCCATTATATGTATAATGGAAATGCATAGCTAATGATTTTATTATAGGAATGCAGTGAAAATGAAGAAGAAAGGGATTGTCAGGGGGTCAGGAATGAATGCAAGCATTACTGATAGAATAGGGCTATTATATGTATAATGTAAATGCATTGCTAAGGATTTTACTATAGGAATGCATTGAAAATCAGGAAGAAAGGGATTGTCAGTGGTCAGGAATGAATGCAAGCATTACTGATAGAATAGGGCTATTATATGTATAATGTAAATGCATTGCTAATGATTTTACTAAAGGAATGCATTGAAAATGAGGAAGAAAGGGATTGTCAGTGGTCAGGAATGAATGCAATTATTACTGATAGAATAGGGCTATTAAATGTATAATGTAAATGCATTGCTAAGGATTTTACTATAGGAATGCATTGAAAATCAGGAAGAAAGGGATTGTCAGTGGTCAGGAATGAATGCAAGCATTACTAATAGAATAGGGCTATTAAATGTATAATGTAAATGCATTGCTAAGGATTTTACTATAGGAATGCATTGAAAATCAGGAAGAAAGGGATTGTCAGTGGTCAGGAATGAATGCAAGCATTACTGATAGAATAGGGCTATTTTACCTATAATTTTTATTGGTCATTCATTTAACAATGTTAAAGGAAGCTTACAGATCCCAGAAAACCATTGGATTTCTAACCTTCCACTTGCAGATTATCCAGCTGGAGTGGAGAGGGTGTTGAGGCTGGGTTAGTGCTAGGGTTGGGTTACTACCACTTTTACATTCTCCCCCACCCACTCAATAAAGTCCAGATGGCATTTTATAAGGTCCTCCTGGACTGTATTCCCTTGTGGGGGCACAGTGGGAACTGAATCCTTTTTTCAGACAATATCTTCAACTTATTCCACCCATCTAATATATCCTTATTAGAATAATTACTAAATAAGATGTTCCTTAGCTGGGAGTATCAAAATACAGTTCCCGGACTTCTCCCATTTCACTGAACACAGTTCCAGAAAACCAGGGTCTGGTCAATGTATTTAGGAGTCCGGAGCATCAATGGAGTTGGCAATGCTGTACCTTGAACCTGTCAAGGAGTTGGTGTCATTAATTTTTCTTAATTCTCCCAGATCTTTTTAATTAGATAATAGTTAAAGGAAAGTCCATGCTAATTGCTTTTTATGTAAATGAAGTGTATCTGCAGTTCACAGATTTTAAGTAGAATTGACATCAACGGAGACGAGGGAGAGAGAAATGAAAAGAAACTTAATACCAGAAAAAAAAAAAAAAAAGGAAAGAAATTTATTAAGAGTTTAGCAAATATACATACATTTTATTCAGACTGTTCTCATAGTAAAAAAATATTAAATCATAACATGTAATTGCTTAATATTTTTTTTTTTTTTTTTAAATGTAAATATATAAGATAAAAAACCAACAAATAGGAAACCCTTATTAATCTAACATGTTTCTTTTTTTCATTAAAGCTTTATCAGAGAATGAGATATGGAGAAAAATTATTTTTTTGTTGTTTGATTTTCATTGGTTCATCTGGTTTGGTTTACGGCATATCAACACCTCAATGGGTTATTTAATGCCGACAAGATTTTTAGGATAGGTTTGTATGAATAGAATATGTATTCTTTGTAAGAAATCAGTTTGTAGATCAGCTTTGGTTTATTTTGTCTTATGGCATATCAAGACATCAATGGGTTATTTAATACCAACAAGATTTTTAGAATATATTTGTATGAATATGTATTCTTTGTAAGAAATCAGTTTGTAGATCAGGTTTGGTTTATTTTGTTTTACGGCATATCAACACCTCAATGGGTTATTTAATACTGACAAGATTTTTATTGTTGGTAATATCTTTTTTTTCAACAATGTCTTGCTGGTAATATTTTTTTTCTTCAAAAATGTATTCCTGCTAAGAATTTTTCCAAAAAAGCAATACTGGTGTTAACACCTATTTTTCAACTTTCATAGTATTTTCACCCTTTTTGGATTATGACTATTTGTCAATAGCTGGGACCCTGATAGGTGCTGCCACCCTGAGTCAGGGTGGACCTGGGAATACCAGCAGTTAAGAGGCAGTTCCATGCTCCTCAAAACATTCTGATCAAAGGCCTTGCTGTCAGATGTAGTTTGTCTTACCCAGGATGTGGTTTATCAGGTTTCATGTGAATTTGATGTGTTAAAAAAAAACGTTAGTATACTTTATGTCATCCTGAATTCAAGGAGAGACAAAATGTCCTTTCAAAGTTTTTTTTCAGTTATGCTTGGAATCTGTTAAATCTCTTCCTGGAAAATTGAAAGATGTGTTTGCTCCTTGCATTTGAAATGCTATAAATTATACTAGCGTTTATTTAACCTTTAGCACTCTGCATTATTCACAAGTATTATTTCCCTCTCTACTGCATATTTTTTTGGGTAGCTCTGTTGTTGATTTTACCCAAGATAATTTTTACTGTTGCTATAGCAGGATATGAAAACACAACCATGAAATTTAAATGCACTATTTTTCAGTAATAAGAGTCACCTGCATTGGCAGGACAAACGTTTTGCTTGATAAAAAAGTCGACTTCAGAGTGCTAAAGGTTAACAAGTTGAATACATATGAGACCTAATTAACCAATAAGAATCAAACAAGACAAAAATACTAGAATTTCTTCTTCTTTTTTCTCAATATCTCATTCTCTGATGAAGCTTTAATAAAAGTGAAACATGTTACATTGATAAATGTTTCTTATTTGTTATTTCATCACTTTGTCGGATTCTGATCTGTATTTGATCCCAATTCATGTAAGCATATAAAATAACAACAACAATATCTAAGTGCTTTGAGATTTTTGAGGAAAACTGGATGGCAAAAAACAATAGTAGAAAAATGCAGTATCTGCAGTGATGGTAATGATTTTTATTTTCCAAACATTCCCATCACCATATATATATATATATATATATATATATATATATATATATATATATTCAGTTTAAAAAAAAAATCCTTGGTAATATCTAATAGAAGTGTTCAGGTATATAGAACATTTTGGTTGGGTTATTTAATGTCGAAAACTGTTTTCCCTGGTAATATTTTGTTTTGTCAAAAATCTATTTCTAGTAATATTTTTTTCCACAAAAATGTAATATTATTTTAAAAAAATGTATAGCTGGTAATATTATTAAAAAAAAAATGTATTGCTGGTAATATTATTTTTTAAAAAAAATGTATAGCTGGTAATATTATTTAAAAAAAAATGTATAGCTGGTAATATTATTTAAAAAAAAATGTATAGCTGGTAATATTATTTTTAAAAAAAAATGTATAGCTGGTAATATTATTTTAAAAAAAAAATGTATTGCTGGTAATATTTTTTTTAAAAAAATGTACAGCTGGTAATATTATTTAAAAAAAAAAATGTATTGCTGGTAATATTTTTTTAAAAAAAATGTATTGCTGGTAATATTATTTTTAAAAAAATGTATAGCTGGTAATATTTTTTTTTCATTAAAAATTTATTTCTGGTAATAATATTTTACAAAGTATTTCTGGTATTAAAACATATTTTTACACTTTCATAATGCAGTACCTTGTGAGTCATCTTTAATAAGAGAGATTTCAGCCAAAATATACAATATAATGGCTGGCCACTCATATTCGAGGATACCCGTCTGTTAGGGCAGCTAGCCAGTCCCTATTGCAGATGCTTGCTCAGGCACATTTGTGTTTATTCAACACCTACAGAGCCCACCTATGGCTTATAATGCAATTATGATGAGCAGACCTTAGTTACAGTTTCTGGGAGAGAAGTGTTATCAAGCATGATCAAGAATCTGAACAAGGCCACCAC